GGTTGCCGGAACAAACGGCGAGGTCTGCAGCCTTGCTAATGCTTTGTCTGTTGGTTTGTAAACAATGCGCGATATTGGCATTCCTACCTTGACGCTCCCATGCGTCCGAGGAGCCAACCGCTGAAGGGCTGAAACTCTGCGCAAGTCGCGCGCCCTGGTATCTTCCTTCCATCGTGCCCTTTCTTCTAGCACGGTTCGCAAATCGGATGATCTAGGCAACTCCGTCTGCCTGGATGACGTCTGGTGCGTGCGCGAGGGCCGATAGGTGCTTCCCTCAGTATATGACCTCTCAGTTCTCGTTCTCTCAGACCTGGTGTAACGAGTCCTGGGAGTTCTTGACTGAGTGTCGCCTGTTCTCAGGCTCCTACTCTCTGCTTGCGATGGTGTGGTATGCCTACCACGATCTTTCGAGTGGCGAGGGAGCGTGTTACTTTTGCGCCCCTCTCTTGTCGCCACCTCTTTTCCTTTGATCTGGCGCTTCATAGACTCCATGTCTGCTACCATCTTCCTTATTAACTCATTTTGTTCCTTTACGCGATCCTCCAGAACCTGAGGATCCATCCTCCGCCTCCGTCTTTCAGGACTTTGAGAGCGACGGGGGCTGTTAGCCCGCCTTTCCCTAGCTTCCCTCCGGGGGTTCTGTCATTGGTGCTCTAAATCCGCCATGGGAGGGATAGATGGAAAACCTTCGCGCCTCCCACCCCCCTCTAGGGTTTGTCCATCGATAGCGGACTGCGGCAAATCTTCATTGTGCGTCATTACTTCCAATTAGAGAGGAAAAACTTGATCAAGAGGTTTTGTTCTTTCTGGTTTTTCCACAGACAGTGCCAATTGTACGAGCACGAAATATTCTTCTCGTATAATCCTGTTGATCAAGTTTGCGCTCCTCTGTACGTCGTCACTTTACTCCCTGAAAACACAAACGTGAGCTAGCCGGCGGGTGTGTGTCGGATACCCCTCCGATGCCTAAGTCAGCAAAATAGACAAATAGGCAAAAGTTCTGTGTATTCGAGAATCAAAGTTGTGTTACCTCTCCATAGGTGATGTTGTGAGCTTTTATAGCTTCCGCGTGGCACAATCCTAGTAGGACTCTTATTCCTCCATGTAGAGTCCTCCTAGGAATCACACTCCTAAAAGATAATGCTTATCCTTCAACACCCCCCTCACTGCTTAAACCAAGTGAGATGGTTTTACCTCGGTAGTATGACAAAACGACCGAGCTAACATAGCCATGCTAAAGTGGCAAAAATGATCGAGCTCCAACTAGCTCGGTTCTTCACTTCATTGCTTATACCTCGATTTGGTCCGTCGAGACCGAGCTAACCATAGTAAGCTTGGACTGAGCTAATCAAGAGCAAGGTCTTGAGGAAAGCTCAAATCATCTCGACTCAGAATGGTATGACCGAGCTAATTACACCACACCAACCGTGGTAACCCCAAGTACAATTGGATCGAGCTAACTGCAAGGTCCTTTCACTCGACCCTTTTTACCGCGGCCCATTTACCTAGCTCGGCCCAATTTATTTATAAATTACCCTCTCAGAAAGGAAGCAGGCAACAACGTGTAACATATTGAGTTAAAAAAATTAGAAAAATGATACATTTTTATAATTTAAGAATTTTAAAAGAATATTAATGACGTAGAAAATTTTTAAAAAATGAAAAAAAATCAATGTTGAAATATCATATCACATGAGGTGGTGTTTGGTTTTTAGTTTTGGCTAAATAATCACAAAAAGATTATAAAAAAAAAAAAGGTCAAAAAATCACAAAAAGTCAAAAATCACAAAAAGACAAAAAAAATTTACTATTCCAAAAAGGTCTCATTTGACAAGTGCCCTTTTTAGTCAAAAAGTCAAAAAAGTTACTAAAAAAATCAAAAAGTCAACAACCCATACCAAAAAGTCAAAGATTATCTTTTCTCTCTACTTTTTGCACATATTTTCGTAAAAAGTCAAAAAGTCATCACAAACATTAGTTTTTTTTACATCACATTATAGCTAAAAAGTCAAAAAGTTACTAAAAATGTCTGTTCCCAAACGTAGTCAAAAAAGCCAATTAAGCCTGTGTTTGGCAAGGGCTTTTTCAGGCTTTTTTGACTATTTTAGCCACAAAAAACAAAATAGGCTATTTTAGCCATAACAAACAAAACATCACATCCAACCTATAATCATTACATTCTTCTCTCACAAAAAAAGTCAAAAAAGCCAAAAAGCCAAAAAGCCCTTCCCAAACCAAGCTTTTTAGCCCAGACTAAAATAGCCAAAAAAGTCAAAAAGCCAAAAAGCCAACCCACTTCCCAAACGGAGGCTAAGAATACCAAACGAACAAAAAAGTCTCAAGCTAAAAAAGTCAAATAAGTCAAAAAGTCAACTAAAAAAGTCATTGTCAAACGAAGACTGAGATTCACACACCAATTAGAGCAATTAGAACTCTTAATCTTTTTTCATAAAATTATTTACCGAACTGAACTAAGTGATTGTCTGAGATGTGTCATATAAGTACACTTTTTGATTTTTTTAGTTAAAAAAATAGAAAAAAAAGATGTATATTTAGAATAGTTTTTTGACTTTTTAAGAAAATATGTGTAATAAAATATTGTAATAAAAGTAAAATGACCATTCTATCCTTATTATTTTTTGATTTGACTTTTAGATTGTTGAATTCAAAAGACAAAATTATTTTGCCGTAGTGACTTCCTCACAAGTTATCCTTAAATAATATAGATTTTTTATTTTTTTTTAATAACTTTTTAATTTTAATTTTTTTTTAATTTGTTCCAAACAACTTCTTCATGAGCTGGTTTTATCCTCTTTTTACACACCTTAGGCACACTAGGAAAATTAAACCATTTAGAGTCATTGTCAAACGAAGACTGAGATTCACACACCAATTAGAGCTATTAGAACTCTTAATTTAGAACTCTTAATCTTTTTTCATAAAATTATTTACCGAACTGAACTAAGTGATTGTCTGAGATGTGTCATATAAGTACACTTTTTGATTTTTTTAGTTAAAAAAATAGAAAAAAAAGATGTATATTTAGAATAATTTTTTGACTTTTTAAGAAAATATGTGTAATAAAATATTGTAATAAAAATAAAATGACCATTCTATCCTTATTATTTTTTGATTTGACTTTTAGATTGTTGAATTCAAAAGACAAAATTATTTTGCCGTAGTAACTTCCTCACAAGTTATCCTTAAATAATATAGATTTTTTATTTTTTTTAATAACTTTTTAATTTTAAATTTTTTTTAATTTGTTCCAAACAACTTCTTCATGAGCTGGTTTTATCCTCTTTTTACACACCTTAGGCACACTAGGAAAATTAAACCATTTAGGCCAAGTTTGGGGACTTCAAAAAAAGTCAAAAAGTCAAAAAGTTACTCAAAAAGTTAAAAAGTTAACACTATTCACCAAAAGTCAACAATTACGGCTGCTCAACAATTACGGCTGCACAACTCTCAATTCAAATTTTTCCCTACAAATCAATTTTTACAATTTTTTATTACACATTTTTCAATAAAAAGTCAAAAAGTTAACCCAAACATCCATATTTTCAACCTCAATTTTTTAGTCCAAAAAGACAAAAAGTGCACTTTTTTAGTCTTCCCAAACTTGGCCTTAGTATTACATCATATATCCTCAACAATAGTTGTCGAGGAGGACCACTGAATAAATTTATTAATTTTTCTTACTAGTTTTTATAATGTGTTAGCAATTATTATTTTTTAAATTAGTTTTTTTTTTATGACACTTATCTCGATTCCCTCTTGCAAAATTTACGGCTTTATCACTAGTTAAGGTTAATTATTTATTAGTTTCAAATTATATGGTAATAATAATAATCGATATTTATTAAGTAATCGGAAGAAAATAGCTTATATTTTTAGATTTTTTTATTTACTTATGGGAGTACTTAATAATTTTTGAGCAAATTACACTTTACTCCTTATTTATCACCATTTTTTACTTTATCCCCACAATTTAAAAATTGATGCAATGTATGTCTTTCATTTTTTGAAAGTTTTTAATTTAACCCTTACATCTCAATTTTGTTACCAAAATAGATGGCAAAATGTCATCTTTAAAGTGTATTTTCATCAGAAATATGATATATACACATTACATGTATTTTTTTTATATGCTTTGTTAACAGAATTAAGATATAAAGGTTTAGATCGAAAATTTTGAAAGAGTGAAAGTAGTACATGGGTTGTTTTGGAAAGTTGGTTAAAAGTAGGTTTTTAATTTTTTTTAAAAAACGTGTAAAAAATTAAAGAGGTGATATGACCCAAAATAAGTTTAGTTTTTAACTAAGTTCCCAATTTGGCTCTCTATTAATTTTTAATTTGAGGAGATAAAATGAAACATAATGATAATTGAGAGGGGTAAAGTGTAATTTACCCATAATTTTTCATAAGGGAGTTGATTTGATTTGAGGAATGGGAGAATGAAAATCAAAATAAATTTGAAATTTTTTAAAAAAAAAGGGTTCAGCTTGTCTTAAGTTGAGATTAAAATTGGACCCGTCCAGTCCAACTTATGGGGTCTATTTTTTGAGTCCGTTTTGATAATCCGAACCGTTCAATATACAGAACTCATCGAGTACTATAGGCCTATAAAAAATCACATTGATCGGATATCAATAGTTATATGATCAAATCTGTTTTGTATAAAAAAAAAATAGACGGTGAAAAAATTAACGGTTGACAAAAAACTGTTTTGATTACATAGCTATCGATATCCGATCAACGTGATTTTTATTAAGCATATAATATTCGACGAGTTCTACACATTGAACGGTTCAGATCATCAAAACGAGACCCGTAATGAATCCCATGGACCCAACAACACGATCCAGTCCAATCTTAACCTTGACCAAAGCCACAGCCTAAAAAAAATACTAGTCAAATCCTATTGACAAATAAGATTCTACTCTACTAGTAGTATTTAATTGTATTAATCAAATAAATGTCACCGGCACCGAATACAGTTATTCTGAGACCCAGGTGGTTACCCCTTAACCTACGCACCCTTCTTCTTCAGCAACAACCACCATTTCAGTCTCTGCTTCATAGCTTCCCAAACATGAAGCAGCAGAGCACAACAAGACATCGTCATCAAGCTCAGGTCTCTCTCTCTCTCTGTATATGTATATATGTGTATATATATATATGTATGTATATGCTTTTTCTCTCTAGAATTCTTCGGATTTCTAGGGTTGCTGTTTCTCTTTCTTTGCGATGACTTGAGAGGAATTGCAGAGAAGTTGGGCTGAAATATGTTGTTTCGGTTGCACCTGCCTACAGCTCTTCTGGCCCAAGATCGTAATGCGCAAATGGCTCAACATCAGTGCTGAGGAGTCCGATTACAGTGCCGATGACACCGACGATGGCGACTCCGATTCCGATTCAGAAGGTTTGGGATAAACAACTTGCAATTTTGTATATATCTGTATATATGTGTAGTTGTTTGAATTTTGAATTTTGAAGTATTTACTTTTTTATGTTTGAAGAATTTGATTTAGGGTTTAAGTTTGACCCCGCCAAGTGTTTTTCTGCAGAAATTGGCGAATGGAGAAGAGAATCGCGATTTCGGTATGGCGACAAAGAGGATGAAGTTGAGACTGATCTTACTGGTAATGTGTTCTGTTTAAAGTTCAATTTTTGAATTTTTTTAGAATGGTTAAATACCTATTTGCTTTCATGAACTTTGGGTATATCATATATTTGGTGACAGTGGTGATTTGATTGTTTAGTAAATTGCATTATGTAATTTGAATTACATTTTGATCCATATTTCTTCTGGACTCAGATGCTCTTCCCAGAATAAGAGTAAGACGAAAGTCGGAGACATTTAGGGCCCAATATATAAACACAAAGGAAATCAGGTAAGCGAGCCTTTCTCACATATATTGAAACAAGTTCTGAGTGACCTTAATTTGGCGAATTTGAGGTTTTGTCTGTTTACCTTTATTTACTGTTGTCTTTTGTTCTAGAGTATGTGTTGGCACGTGGAATGTTGCAGGAAAGCTTCCACCTGATGACCTAGCTATCGAAAGTTGGTTAGATATCAGCGAGCCTGCTGACATTTATGTGATTGGGTAAGTTCTTAATGGGTTGGTTTATAGAATTCCTCTGATTGTGCTATTTTGTTAGATCATCATATTCATGCAAATCAGCTCTTTCAAGTACAGCGAGTTTTATTCTTTTCAGTTTTAATCCCCATGTCTATGTACAAGTATGTATGTATGTATATCATCTTCGTAAATACCAGCATGAAGTGATTCCATAGTTTTCTTATATATCTAAAGTTCATTTCAGAATAATTGGTCTGATTTATATTTACAGTCTTCAGGAGATTATACCATTAAATGCTGGGAATATCTTTGGTGCTAAAGATAGCCGCCCAGTGCCCAAATGGGAAAACCTCATTCGTGAAACTCTTAATAGGGTTCGACCTGCAAAGCTGAAATTTAAATGCTACAGTGAACCCCCTTCTCCATCAAGATTTAAGCCATCTGATGATGCCCCGGATATAGAAGACGAAATAATGCTTGAATCTGATAGTGATGGTGAGGAGGAAATCCATCCATTAACTGATGAATCCACTGATTTTGATGAAGCCATTGATGGATCACTTGCAGTCGAAAATGTGTTTATGAATTCTGAAGCTTCAGTCTCTAGTGATGACATCCATTTAGGCATGCAAGTTCAACAGGATTTAGGGAGGCAATTTTCTTCTCCAAAGAGGCTGGACAGGTTGAATTGCCTTAGAACAGAAGATTGTTCAGGAAACACCGAAGCATCATTTTCTCAATGCAATAGAAAACTAACCAAAACTCTCAGTGGGACAGAAAGGATTGGTTTGAGCTGGCCTGAGCCACCATTGGATCTGCTGGCCAAGCATGTTTTAGACAGACCTATTTCCTTTAAGTCTATTAAATCTTTCAAATCTTCTAAATCTTTTGGAACATATAATTCTTTCAAGTTACCCGGGACTGATGATGATAGAGCGCAATCAGACACAGCTTTGCTTGCGGAACTTGACATTGAATCCCTTATGGATCGGAAAAGAAGATCCCCATTTGTAAGGATAGTAAGCAAGCAAATGGTTGGAATTTTCCTCACTATATGGGTTCGCAGAAGCTTGCGAAGGCATATCCAGAACTTGAAGGTGTCTACTGTTGGTGTTGGTGTAATGGGCTACATAGGCAACAAGGTTTGTTCTTTTTCTGATTGTTTACTCTAATATTGATGATATTACCATCCTTACCAGTTTCGCTGGTTAATGATAGATGGGTTAAACATGTCCTTATATATGAACTATTCTATAATATGTGCCAAAATCAATTTATTTCATTTTCTTTCATATGCACGATTATCTAACGTCATTTTTTTATAGTGAAGATTTTCGATTTGATATGATTCATGATTTGTAAAATTAGAATTTCGACTATGTGGACTGATCACACTCATTTATTAGTGCATTTTGCCCTTTTGCTTCAAGCATCAGCACGGGAATCACATATACACTAATAGAAAGAACCAACTAAAACTAGACTTCTGTGAATATTGCTTTATGATAGTTGTAAACAAATAAAAACTATATCCTTCAACTAGTCCCCAATTTGCAAGTTCTGTAATACTTCTACTGGCGCCTTGCTTCTTTGTTTGTCTTGTGCATAAGCTGTTGGATGTAACTGTTAGTTCCCTCTTGCAATAAATTTTAGAGAACATCAACAAGTCAAATGTTAGCCCATATAAAGAGGTAAACTTTGGGCTTTGGTAACCATCTTGATCTTGATCTTGATTTTAGGGCATTGCATGTAAAATGTTAACCTATATAGAGAGGTAAACTAATCAATAAATCAAACAAAACAGGATGGGTGGATAAGCAAAACAACACACATATTAGTAAACATAATAGTGGAACAGACTCAAACGGAAACACTTGAACAAAGGACCTTCTAGAACGGAAGTGGTGATGCCATGTTGAGAAATCAATCGGCCCACAAGTTTCAGTGGTTAGGGAACCGAGCCAATAATGCATATCAAGCTCTTATATATCGGATACATCTTTTCGAAGTCTCCTAAGTATATTGGTTGAACTTAGAGGTAGGAGGATTGCAATAACCTTACGGTTTTTCTACAAGTTTTTACTTCTTGCTGTGCTTGTGCACTGCACACAAGCTTCATGCATTTTTGTCATAAAAGCATATGTTGTTGGTTAATTACTTTATGTTGCCTCTCAATATCATGTGGTTTGACATTCAATTCGTAAATAGTATTACAGTTACTTAATTTTGATGAGTTTACTTGCTTTATTTTCTTCTTAATACTGGTAATTTTCAATCTTCCAGGGGTCAATAGCTGTTAGCATGTCTATATATCAGACGCTATTTTGTTTTATTTGTACTCACCTAACATCGGGTGAAAAAGATGCGGATGCAGTTAAAAGAAATGCTGATGTGCATGAAATACATCGAAGGACTCAATTTCATCCACTTTCAGCTATTGGACTTCCCAAAAGCATCCATGACCATGAGTGAGTATAGTGCGTACTTTATGAAAAAAATGCCTAGTGGATATTCTCTCTCTCTCTCTCTCTCTTTCTCTCTCTCGCGTGTGTGTGCTTATTAGAAGAAGCTCTATTTTTTGGTTTGCCATGTTTATTCACTCTCATGGGGGAAGCCATTGTTTAATACTTGTAAAAATCAAGGAAAAGAGTCTAGAGACTAGAGAGGCTAGTGGCCTAAAATTTCTTTGAACAACCAGACTAGTTCTTATTTGGATTGAATCTTGAAATCTTTTCCTAATATGTTTTGACTGTTTAGAAATTGGAATATTAAATATATATATAGTTTCTTGTTTAGATCTTACTTTAAATGCTTACATTACTTGATAATAAAATGTCATCTTTTGAGAGTAATGTTTTCCTTTGATTACCAATATCCACTTTTGGGAAGAGCAAAGCATATTTAAATACAATTTATCCCCACAGAGCTTGAGTATTTATTTTCTTTCTTCATAGAGTTTGATAACTTGAATGGTGCTCTTGGTAGAACTAGAAGTACAGTCCTCTCTCTCTCTCTCTCTCTCTCTCTCTTCTGTTCTATAAATCTGAAAAGTTTCATATTGGAATTATTTACATGTCCTTGCTTGATTGTTGACTGATTGGATCTAGTTGGAAAGCCTGAAAAGTGTATACAATGGCTATTTATACAAGAAAAAGTTGTAAATGTCTGCACTTTAACTAGGGGTGTATATATTTAAAGTTTTTCTGGCTGGTACCTCTGTCGTGTAGTAGATCACTACAGTGTTCCTTGCACTAGGTGAAATAAAAAAATATACACTGAATTACTCTCTTTTTTTATTCATAGGATTGTTAAGAACTCTCATTTTCTTTAATCTTCTAGATGACATGAATTTTTCAAATTGCAGTAAAATATTCTGGCTAGGTGATCTAAATTATCGTATCAATTTGTCATATGAGAAAACGCGAGAGCTGATCTCCAGAAAGGATTGGTCCATGTTGGTTGAGTTTGACCAGGTTTGTTTGTATTATTGCCTCTATTATTCTTCTTTTTTTTCCTGGCATCATTTGAATTATTTGACAATCAACCTTATTTAGAACAAATTTTGGTTTTACACTGCTAATTAATGAATTTTGCTAGAGCACTATTCTCTACGACCTTTATTCTGTTCTATATATTTGGTTTGCGGAACTCAATGTAAAGGGACAGTGGACACTACAAAAGTCTATATACATTGCCTACATGTATTGGTGCTTGTATTTTTTGCTTGCTAGGTTGTTTGTCATAGTCATGCATTTTCTTGTGTTTCATGAGCTTGGTGGAAAGATTTTCATATACAGTGGCTACTAGCCACCATTTGACTTGATTTTGGTATTTGGGTTCTTCAAATTATATGCATAATGTTCCTAGGGCCATTCGGAACCAAATTATGCAGATTGATAAATAGTATGATTTGTTGAAAAATTTTGTGAGGAACTCCTTGTTAATCTCTCTCTCTCTCTCTCTCTCCAAAGCACACTAATAAACTAACGATAAAAGTCAAGGTCAACTAATTATTTTGAATATATTGTTCTTTTACCCTTATTACAGAGAAGATGTCATAAAAGTACTCAATCATGCAAAATAATTGACTACACACTTGATCATGTAAGGTCAATATCAAGAGCAGTGTAGTATCATAATGCTATTATTGAATAGTTAGGATTCTTTATCACTAAGAATTATGTACAATACATGACTTCTTATCTTCTATATATGCATATATACATAGCAACACATCTTGCAGAAGATATATAGGGATTTATTGATTATTGTCCTTGTACTTATTTTAGTAATCTAGGTGTTATACAGTTTTACAAATTTTGATGTGGGTCAATAATACATAACTAAATGAAATTTTAGTGAAGTTTTAAGTTTAGTATGTTTTGATCTTAATGTATGGCATTTTTGTTAAATTATCTGCAAGGGAAGTATTCATCCTCATTTGTCATCATATGTTGTTGTATCTGGAGAATGTTTTCAATTGCATTTGCTACTTCTTTGTACGGTTAAAAGCAAAGAGGAATTATGTAATGAGGGGAAAAAATTGTAAGGATTTTTAGACACATAAATCGCAGAGAATACTTGCTCTTTTAAGCTGTAGAATTGAAAATTAAAGCAAAGATGTTTATTGTGCTTTGCCTACAGTACTGGTGCTCCAAATCAATATTGGGAGTATTTATATTGTTGTGTCTGGCAATGTAGTTGTTTGTGTTGCTGATTCTTTCAGCCATAGTATATCTAGATTTGCGTAATTAGAAAACGGAATTTGAAGGTGTGAAGCATTGTGGTGATTAAAAACATTGATAGAAGTTCACGACATCTACTAATTGATGAAAGTTCATTGTGATGACTGAAAACATTGACGTGTATTTTAACCTAAATTGAAGTTCATTGAAAACATTGAAGTTCAATGTGGTGATTGAAAAAATTGTGATTTATCATTTTTGCATGAAGTCATGGTTATTTGAAGTCTAGTTGCTGATTACATGGACATCTTCTTCTGGCAGCTTGTACGAGAGCTCAGGAAAGGTCGTGCATTTGATGGATGGTGTGAAGGTACATTAAATTTTTCACCAACCTATAAATATGAGTTAAACTCGGAGAAGTACTTTGGGGAGGATCCGAAGGTTGGAAGGCGTACCCCAGCATGGTATGCATCTACAAGCTTTTGCTTGGTCATGGGACTTTGTCCCACATCTGATCATTACATGTCATTTATGTCATTTCTGGTTCCTGTCTTTGTCTAATTGACTGCTCCACTGTAAATTATACTTATATTAGAATTAGCGTTCACTTTGTTGCCGGAAACACTCGTGTAGGTTTCCATTCTACTTTACGCATTTTCTTTTTATTGTTTCATTGTATCTTATGAATGCTTTTTGTTATGTATGCTTGTTTTCTCTGGGTAATTGTTTTTTCATTTTATTGTTCAACAATTTTTCTAGGAACAAATTGATCTTTTCTGAAGCATGCATCTTCTCTTGTCTGTCGCAACGCATCTATTCAATTTCAAATTCATAAAGTATTATGATATGAATTAGAATTCAAGTTCTGGTCCTGCATTGTTCTGTATTGAAACCATTATCTGCAACCTGTAATAATTCTTTCTTTGCTAGAGACATTGTACTGTTATGCACAATGAAACAGATATGTCACCTATTTTAAAGATAAAAGGACACAAGTATTGTGGGAATGACGTGGAGCTTGAGTATTTTATTATTATCGGGACAGAATCACTTTGATTGAGTCATCTTTACATTGGTTATTCTTTAATGAAAAATAAACAGATGAGAACTGATTGGGTAATATAAAAGCCTAATTTACATTTGGAATAGAAAAATATTCTGTTTGGAGGCATCCATGATTGCAAAAATTACAACATGACCAACAATTTATCAGTGGTTAGCGCCACTTTTTTGGGTGAAATATGCAACAAGGGGGAGAATGGACTAACAGTTATTACTGCAGTTGGATTGAGAACTGAACTTTGCATGGTTGGGACGAGAGGCATGGGTCTTCAACATTTTATTTCTTTGGTACACATGCATATGTACATATGTGCATATGCTTATGTATATGCATGTTCATGATCTAGTTTTTAACCCCTAGTAGCAGTTTTATTTATTTATTTTATTCTTACACCCATCAATAGCTTTTTGTGGAAAGTTTCCAAGATTAATGTTGGATTATGTGTCTTTTCCATGCTTGTCATGCTAGTGAATTTTGAGTTTATTGGAGATTAGGAGCTGTCCCGTCTACATTGCTCCAAGATTTGAATATTATTGTTATGGTGATGTGAGCACCTAGATTGGATGGCCACTAATGTCATATCATTTTGATCTCTGGCTTGCATATCATTCAAGGGAAGGGTTCATCCCCCTTGTGTGTGTGTAGAAAGTTCAGGGACTTGAACAACAATAGAAACCCTTTTACGGGCTTGAACAAGCTACAAATAAGATAATGTTATAATATCAAACATAAAATATAACAAATCTTAGGCAAATCTGAATCTATTTTTTGATAAATGTTTCATGCTTTGGTTTGGTGTCCATGTTGATTGGTTCTTTTTGTTTCTCTTAGTTTTGAATGCCCATTTGCATTTCTAGACGTTTATGTATCTTCTTCTATCAGGTGTGACCGTATTCTTTCATATGGGAAGGGAATGCGGTTATTAAGCTACAGGAAAGCAGACCTTAGGCTTTCTGATCATCGACCTGTGACTGCCTCGTATATGGTAGAGGTTGAGGTGTTTTGTCCTAGGAAGCTGCAACGGGCCCTCACATATACTGATGCAGAAATTGAAAATCAGGAAGTTGTAGAAGACAAGGAAACTGATGTTGGAATGAGCTGCTTAAGATTCAGAGAGGTAAGCAATATCTGTCATGTATATTTTAATTGCACAAACAATAGGTTTTTCTAAATAACCCATTCTTTGTTTCGATGGTTTACACAAGTAGGTCGATTTAGGATCTATGCAAACAAAACCTGTGTATGGTTCTTACGTTATGACAAACATGTTTTAGAAAATTTTGTTGAGTACAGTCAGTTATATGGTGGGTTAATGCTTGGTTCTGCTGGTTTCTAAAAATGAAGGGAAACATATGATTTAACATTGTTTAGCCCATTTTCTAACAGCCCCAACACACTACCGACTGAATTAATGAAGTGTTTATGCTTAGAATGTCCATCTCACTAGGCTTCTTTTCTGTAATGTTCCAAGATATCTCTCTGTATGTGACTTTTGTCTGCTGGCGCAGGATGCATCTGATCGGGAGCGTTAGGAGGGGTTAATTTCCAACAAACTGGGAGAGGCTGTGATTGAGGATTCAGATAATTTGTGAAACCCTCTCTATTGCTACTATACTAAGCAATTTATTCATTTGATTTTGAATGTTCTGTGGTCAATGTTGTATATTCCAGTGTGTAAATGCCTGTATATGTTTTTTTTTGCTCGTAACTTCTAGAAATAAGTAGTTTTAAAGGGTATTTTGGTTCAGTCAGTGTATATTGATGTATCTTATATTAGAATTAGCGTTCACTTTGTTGCCGGAAACACTCACTGAGATTGCATCAAACTTCAAAAACTACATGTTGAAAGTAAAAAATAATGGACATGCTTGCGAGACAATTCTGTTTTTTTTTCAATTACTGGTTTAATTTTGTATCCTACCTGTCTGCATTTGAGTCTGTTTTGCTGAAGAAAATAGTTAAATGGCTTATTTTTCTAGGGTTCTGTTGTAAATCAACACCAGAACATACTTTTTTCCTTGGTGGAGACACTAGATTTGTTTAGCGGCTATTACTTAGTTTACTCTTTTTTGCCAGACACAGTAATATGGTTTGGCTTTGCAGGCAAACGAAAAATCGGTCTTGGGTGCATTTTTGAAGCCACAAGGGGCTCTCTCATGCTGGCTATGGACTTCATTGTTGACAATCTTCCTTCTTTGTCCTGTCTTCCCTCATGAGTTGAAAATTTATTTTGTTTTGTTACATAAAAAGGAATGAACCTGGTTCAGTGAGACTCATTTTTTTAAAATCATGGCCATCGATGAATTTTGTGTCCGATTATGTGTGATATGCTAGTCGCCTATAATTTTAAAATTATTCAATGCTTTAGGGGTGTAGTCCCAATACGAGTCCGGATCCTCGGTCGCCTTCCCTTGTTGCCCTTCCTGTGGCTCCCCAAAACGACGTCGTTTTGGGGCAAGTTTTCAATGTGTGCGCCAAAAAAAAAAAAAAAAAAAAAAAGGGCATAACAGAAGCAACCTAGAGAGGGAGAGGGAGAAGAAGAAAGAATGGAGAAGAAGGAAGGCAGAGAAAGAGAGGAGGAGGAATAAAGGAGTAGGAGGAAGAAGAAGAAGAAGAGAGACGCCGGTGATGGCTTCGCCGGCCTAATGGGAAGCAGCAATCTGGCCACTTCGAAGAAGGAGAAAGAGAAGGGGTAGAAGAAGAGGATCGAAACTTTTTTTTCACTATAACAATGGAGTTCGCAGATTTATCCAAATCCGGTACCAATTTCCGACCCAGGTCCTTTGAAATTGATCTCAACGAGACCCCCTGCCCTTTCATAGCGAAACCCTCGACGTTGCCCCGGGTTTGTGATGGTTGCAGGCTACAGGTTTGTCCCATTTTTTTTTCTCTCTCTCTCTATGTATATATATATATATATATATATATCTTAGATTTGGTTGTTAATATGTATCTCAGAAGAACACCCAGTGTAAATTTTGAATGATTGTTAATTTTGAACACCCAGAAGAACACCCAGTGGTAATTTTTTTTCTCTCTCTCTATGTATGTATATATATCTTAGATTTGGTTGTTAATTTTGAACACCCAGTGTTTGTGGTGGTTGCGGGCTACAGTTTTATTATTTGGTTGTTAATTTTGAATGGTTGTTGGAATGCTTGAATGTTTGAATGGTGTTTGAATGCCTCTGCTTCGTTCTTTCTCTGCCTTCTCTTCTGGTTCTTGCCTTCTGTCTTTTTTTTTTCTTTTTTTTGAAAACTTGCCCTAAAATGACGTCGTTTTGGGGCACCGCAAGAAGGGCGGCAGGGGAAGGCGACTGAGGATCCGGACTGGTCCCAATACAGCCATAATATTTAGAGGTAAATCCTATGTGACCGTGTAAACTCCTAGGGCTTTGGGCTTGTGGCCCGAATTTGGGTGGCTCAAATGGTTTGAATGTATCAAAACGATGTCGTTTTACACCTAAAACGACGTCGTTTTGAGTGTTTCGAGCCATGAATTTTCTGGCCACCTAGCATTATTGTTAGAAAAATTGGTGTGTTATAATTGTTGACATGACAAGATTGTGCAAAGAGAGAGAGAGAGAGAGTCAACTATTAGAACCGTTGAGTTTGTTTACTGTTTAATGACACAAGCTGATACCAAGTTGGTAGGCCAGCAGCAGTGCTTTAAGCACACAATCATTGCCAATGTTTGAGTGCCCTCTTTTTTAAGATGTGATTTTCCCTCTTTTCTTTTGAGAGCATTGAATCAGAACAATCTTGATGAACACCATTCATTTTATTTATGTAATTCCCTTTTCTTTTTCTTTTTTTTCTTCAAAATGGATGGAGAACAAACACCACTCCTTTCTCTAAAGGCACAACATCACATTAATACAATTTGAATATCATGATCACCAACAATAATAATAGCAATAATAATGATGATTACATTTGTATCTAAATCATTACAATTTGCAAATTACATAGAACCATTTACACCATCATTAGTTAAGGCTCTTGAGGTGCCCAAGAGTTGACGCTTCCTCAACCAGTACTGTTGAAACCTCTGCCTTGCATACTCCATGTAATCGAAATCAATATGGTTCACATAGCTCTGCATATCCCCCCCAAAAAAAATGATTAGTATATGTTTAAGCCCAATCGCCATCTCCATAAGCGAAGTGTTCTCTATCTGAATTTCCTGTGTTCCTGTCTCAAGGCACCTCTCTATCAATGATTGAGATCACATCAGACCCACCACTCATTGCATTTATGTGAGGTGTGACTGGAAGAATCAAAATCAATTTATTTAAGCTTGATTTTAGGACATTTTAATTTAAGGAGCTATTATGTAATTTTAGTTATTTTGGATTTTATTATTTTGTTTCCTTTTTAGTTGGCCTCTAAATGTTGGGATCCTTGTTATTGGAGACACTTTTGATATTGAGAATAAATGGAGTTGAGAATATTCAAATTGTTAGGATTTTTGTAGCTCTTTATTTCTCTCTCTTTGTTATTTTAATTTATTTTTTTTTACACTGGCCGTCCACCATCTACCATCCAATGTGTCTCTCTGGCATAATTGTGTGGCAGAGAGAGGCTTTGAGACAAGGGGATAGGAGAGATCAGGACAGAAAATCCCAGTCTACCAAAAGCACTGACACTTACCGAGATTATTCCCCATAAACCCCAAAACAGATGGTTTGCAAGGGTGTACTTCTCTGCATCATCCACAAGCTGTTCTACTTCAGAGTCACTAGGTTGATTCCCTGCATATATTGATGAAAACTTTAGGTACATAAACGAACCCACTCATATATTAAGATAATAAGACCAAAAGATGGTTCCATAATACCACCCAAAAAAAAAAAAAAAAAAAAAAAAAAATCAACCCTGATTACACTTTTACACAAAAAAAAAAAAAAAAAAAAACAAACAAAACAAACAAACAAAACACAACCATCCACAGGCGGGATTTGTTTTTCTTATCTACTCTGCCGCCGGTCTCTTCTTCTTCTTTGCCCTCCCGTGTTTCCTACGCCGCCGAGCACGTTCACCTACTCCTGCTCCTCCACTGCAGCATATGGCGACCTCCAACGGAACATCACGGTGGCCTTCCGCTTCAGCTCCTTGTTTTCTGCCTTTAGCACACTTATCTCTGCTCGCGCATCCTTATACATGCGTTGGAGCAGAGCCAGCTGGGAGTTTAACTGTTGCACCTCATTTGTCCTGCTCTGCAGCCGGTGCGACAGTTTGTGACCGCAGTCATGGTTTCCACACATGACTTCAAGTATACTGATTGGCTCAATGTAGTTTGCACTGCCATTTTTTGCTCCACGACCGCATAGGAAAGTTCAACGGAGCAAACCCAGGCGCTTGGTTGAGGTTCACTGCCCCCGCACCAGATTTCTCTTCTTGTTGACTCGTTAAGGTCTGGAAAAAAGAGTGAGCAGACCACGGGAAGACGAAGCCATTTTTCTGGACAACAGAGTGTTACAGAGTATCTCTCTCAGAAATCTCTCTCAGAAAACGAAGTGTTACAGAGTATCTCTCTCAGAAATCTCTCTCAGAAAAGAAGAGGTTTCTCAGCAGGTTGTTTGCTTTCCAAGCCTCAGCCTCCTGCTTCGGTTTATAAAGACCATGATGAAGAGGCAGACCGCGCATCGCGCGCCACTTGACGCAGACGACCAACGGGGCCGCGCAAGCCAATGTGGTCAGCGTTCTCGCCATCATGT